TGAGGAGTAAGACAATAATATGACACTTTTTCTTTATATTTGACATTTTGAAGTAAGGGCAAATAAATATATATGTAATCCCTCTGATTGTGTTCTAGACTCCATTGTGTGGTATTAGCAACTCAGATGCCACAAGTGGCATGGCCATTGATGATGTGATTTTTCTAAAGTGGTGAACAATTCTTGTCATAAGGTCTAAACATAATGAAGTTGTCTTTCTCGATTTACCCAATTCATTGTATTACTGGAAAATTCAGCATAACGTATTTTGTATTTATATGTAAAATGGAGTTAAATTTTTAGGCTTAGACAATTAAGAACAGAATAATTTCCTGGCAGATGTTCAAAAGTCATGTGAGATGTAGCATAATTGTTCATTGTATAGGACTGTCTCATGCATTGCAGGATGTCTGGATTTCTTGACTCTGCCCATAAATACCAATAGCCTGTCCCTGTCTGTGTTAACCAAAAGCACACTTAATAGTTCCACGGGGCCCCCTAGGGACGAGTTTTTTCTTTTGGAAACCCTTATCCCAAGCTTTGAAGTGTGCCCTTATCTCCTAATCAGAGTTGAGTTTTATCACTTGTTTTGCTATTTTAATAGGTACAAAATGATATTTTAGTTGCTTTTCTTTGATTTCTTCATGTTTGTTTCTAATGTTTATTTTTTCTTCATTGTTATACTTAATATGCCTGTGATTATAATGTACTTCTTTGTCTTAATGTTTTTTGTCTATTTGTGTTTTGTTAAAATTTAACATCTTTTTTCCCATTACATATATTTTAATATTTTAAACTTTTTCATTATGTTTGTTCTATACCTTTCTACCTTATGTTTCTTGAAAGCATTTATTTTATTTTCTTACGTTTAACCATTTAAACATTAATTCATTTAACGAATAAGCATTTCTTACATTTAAAAACTTTTAAAAGTTTTTAAGAAGGATTTAAGACCTATGAAATGTGTTTTGATTGGTCTTTCATAGTGTTTTTAAAAGAGTGCTACTCCTCTCTTTACTTCAGAATTGGGAGGGATGGTAGTTATTTCTTAAAAATGCAGATTGCCAGGCTTCAGCCCAGATCTAGAGAATTGAGGTCTCTAGGGATGGGGCCTGGGAACCTGCATTTTCAACCAGAGCCCCTGAATGATTCTTATGTGTACAGCAGAGTTTAAGAGCTAGTTTGTCCTATTTTTTTTTTTTTTTTTTTTTTTAAAGATGACCAGTAAGGGGATCTTAACCCTTGACTTGGTGTTGTCAGCACCACGCTCAGCCAGCGAGCAAACCGGCCATCCCTATACGGGATCCGAACCCGAGGCCTTGGTGTTATCAGCACCGCACTCTCCCAAGTGAGCCACGGGCCGGCCCTAGTTTGTCCTATTTTTGCCTTCTTAAAACATTTGTTTTCTGGATGGTTGGCTCAGTTGGTAAGAACGTGATACTAACACCAAGGTCTGGGGTTCAATCCCTGTACTGAGCAGCAAAAACAAAAAGACACATTTTTTTCCCTCTGATAATGTGTTATCTGGAATGTACACTAAATATTATTTAAATATTCCTTAAATATTTGGAAACCATCCAACCTTTTTTTAACTAATAATTACTTTAAAACAAATAGCTGTTAAAAAATTTTTATTTGTTTATGATATTCAAAATTTTGAACATACTTCAGCAGAATAGAGGGTGTATCTTCTGACATCTTCCTTTCTCTCATTGGTAAGCCTTGACATTCTAAAACGTTTATTCAGTATCCACTGTATGCCAGGGACTACTCAAAAGATTGACGAGGTAAGGTTTCCACTCCAAAAAGGCTGGCACTCTTGTGGTCAGATATCTGTACGTAGCTAACAATCTAATGTGAAGCTTTATATGAACAGCCTGTAATAGGCTCTCAGAGTTGGGAGGAGCTGGTTTGAGGAGTCGAGAAAAGCTTTACTAAAGAGAGGACATTTGAGTTGGGCCTTGAAGGATGCGTACGTACCTCATAAAGTGGATCCAGGTGGGAATGGCATTTCAGTCAGTGGGAGTAGATAAGCAATAACATAGGGTATGAAAGAATTTGTTGGATTTGAATCATCAGTAGTATTTCGTGGTCATAGCTTGGAGTGTTTGAAAAAGTAGCAGTAGAAGATAAGGCTGAGAAGGAGGGGAAGCAATTTTAATTAGAGTTATTAGCACAGTTTTGTTGTTGATTTTTTGGAATTTGATAAAATCATAAATTTTATATAGACGAATAAATTACTGGCATAGCCAATAAAGTTTTGAAAAAAAAATAGTGGGGATGGAGGGGGCTTCTTTTCCTAATATCGAAACATTCCATAAAGCCACTAAAGTTAAATCATTATGGTATTGGCATAGGAATAGACAAATAGTTGAACAGAACAGATTCTTAATAAATTCCTTTACAAATGAGAATTTAATATATGACAAAATTGGTATTTCAGTTCAGTGGGGAAAGGATGTATTTTTGATGAATTATGCTGGCACAACTGACTATACATCTAGAAGAAAATAAAATTGGATTTTTTTTACACCACTTATAGAAGTAAATTCCAGATGAATATAACATTTACATGTGAGGAATTAAACAGTTATCTTGCAGAAAAATCTAGGAGACTACATAATACACTTTAAGGTTATATTTTCGGGCTGGCCTGTGGCTCACTTGGGTGAGCATGGTGCTGACAACACCAAGCCAAAGGTGTTGTCATCTTTTTAAAAAACACGTCATCTTAAAAAAAAAAAAAAAAAAAAAAAAAGGTTATACTTTCAAACTTTTGGACCAAGACCCATAGTAAGAAATGTATTTTCATTGTGACCCAGAACATATATATATTTCAAAAAATGAAGCAAGTTTCACAGAACAATGCTTACCTTTACTGTTTGTGGTGCCCTTATTGTATATCTTATTCCATATCATTAAAAACAGAAGTATTACCCATTACATTTATTTTATGACCCACAGTTTGAAAAACACTGATAGAGGAGGTGGGAGGAAGAAACCTAAGCCAGACTCAAAACCAGAAGCTATAAAATAAAAGTAAATATTTGGCTTTAACAATGAAATTTTACTTTACTTTATACTTATAAATAAATAATGCTGATTCCTGGAAGGGGGTGGGAGGGTAGAGAGGAGGGAACGGCTCTCATCCATTCCTAATGTAGATGGGAGTTATTACAGCTTTTTTGGGAGACAATCTGGCAAGACCTATTTACATTAAAAATACATAAACCATTTGATCCAACAGTTTCACTCTTGGGAACTTATTCCACAGAAATAAAATAGCCACTGCTTAAGGATATATGAACAAGCATGTTTGTTGTGTCACTATCTCCTGGTGACCAAAAAAAAAAAAAAAGATAGGAATGAAGTGGATGTACATAATTAGAAGACTGGTTGAGTAAATTATGCCACACCCATATTATAGAATTCTTCACAGCCATTAAAAAGAATCTGTTACTGGTTGGAAGGATATTTGTGAAGTTCTGTTGAATGGAAAAAACAAGATATAGAAAAATATACAGTCGCTAGCTATGCATGTTTACAAATTATTTTAATATGATAGAGTTAGAGTGGAGTGGAGTATAGGAGGAAATGTTAAGTTGTTAACATCGGTTATCTGTCCAGGGAAGTGAATTATTTGGACAGGGAATGAAGCTAAACAAAAAATGAAAATGCTGAAAATTACACAAAAACAAAAGTCCCTGTAGTATAATATTCTTGTACATTTATGTAAGAGACTATATACTGTGTATATATTTACTGTATGTATACTATATGTATATGTATGTACACACAGCGTATTTCAAAAAGTTTGTGGAAAGGTTTGTATTATCTTTTAATTATATTTTTCCACAAACCTTTAGAAGTACCCTCATATTACGTACATACATGTTTATGTGTGTATATATATGATAAGAAAGAAAGGCAAGAAAAAATATGTGGTGTAGGAATAAGTTGTCTTCCGTTGGTGATGGCTCCCCATCACAGCTTTCACTTTTTCCTTTTCCATATTTGAGAGTTCATATTTCAAGGAGGCATCAGGATATCCTTGGGGGGATCTCCTTGTAAATCATAAGGAAACTGAAGCAATTTTTGTAGTTATGCACATCCACCTTTCCTTCAAGTTGTAGGTACCTTGTTAGATACTGGCTCATCCCTCCTGCCTTCCTATTTTCGGGGAAAGATCCAGAGTAGAAGAGGAGATCAGAGATCCTTATAGGGTCATTGAAAGGAACCTGGGCCCAGAGTCCCTCAGACTCCAAAGGAAGCTGTGTAAATTGAATAGGATGGGAGAGGAGAAATGGGGGGGTGGATTTCTGTGCATGGAAAGGAGAAAGAAAGGTAGTTTGGGACCAGACTGTGAATGACTTTTACTCTCATGCAAAGGAGTTTGATTCTCATTCTTTAGGCTCATGCTTCTCAAATGCCATATGCTCTTGAAAAACACGTTTGGTGAGCTGGAATGAAGTTTTCCAGGATAAAATTAAACAACACTAGTCTCTTTCCAGTTTGAAGAAAAAGTAGCTTAAGGGATAGAACTTTTTTTTTTTTTTTTTTCCTTTTTGTCTTTTTTACTGACCGGTAACGGGATCGCAACCCTTGGTGTCACGCCTGTACCGGGGACCGGCAACGGGATCGCAACCCTCGGTGTCACGCCCGCACCACGCTCAGCCAGTGAGCGGGAACCGGTCTCCACATGGGATCCAAACCCTCGGTGGGAGCGCCGCCGCTGGCCCAAGGGATAGAACTTTTTAAAGATTAATTGTTCCCATGCATTTTGCTTAAACTGCTGGCTGGACAAACATTGCAGAACAAGTAGAAAATGGAAGTTAACAGAAATGAATTGGAAAGGACTTAACCATCCTTGATTGTCTTCATGAATATGGCATTTATCATATTTACATTGCATTCATACATGTAGAATAAATCTGTGTTTTACTTGTATACATTAATTTGCAATATTATAATTTAACATGCATTTCTTTTTTATCTTTTCAGGTGCCATTTGGATAATACTTTAGTGGCACGATGTACTCTGAGTGGAGGTCACTGCATTTGGTGATTCAGAATGATCAGGGCCATACCAGTGTGCTGCACAGCTATCCAGAGAGTGTTGGGCGAGAGGTGGCAAATGCAGTAGTCCGTCCTCTTGGGCAGGCGTTAGGTACCCCTTCAGTGGCTGGTGGTGAGAGTTTGTTAAAAACTGACAAAGAAGTAAGTGTTTCTTCATTTCATTCTATTACATGAAAATATACATTTGTTACTGAAGAATGTTTTTTTTTTTTTTTTTTCCTTTTTGTCTTTTTTCGTGACCGGCAACGGATCGCAACCCTCAGTGTCGCGCCCGTACCGGACCGGGACCGGCAACGGGATCGCAACCCTCAGCATTGCGCCCGCACCTTGCTCAGCCAGTGAGCGGCCGGTCTGTATATGGGATCCGAACCCTCGGCGGGAGCGCCGCCACGCTCCCAAGCGGCGCACTGTAGCAGTGCGCCACCGGGCCGGCCCCTGAAGAATGTATTTAATGTTAACTTTTTAATGGATTTCTGCCCAGTGTAGTGTGACTTCTCAGTTTTGATCTCATTTGGGTTGAGTGCTGGGGCTGAGGCAGTTTGTTTATCCTCCCTAGGCCTAGCAGAAGGGTGAAGTCCCTCAGTCTGAGGAGCAATTTTTTTTTCTTCAGAGGATCCCAGACTTACTTCTGAGGACCAGCATGGGCCCTGTTGCTCTTCTCTTGGTGTGATCCTGATCTCTTGCCGCCTTCTTCTGGGAAGAGATTGCATTTGGGTAGATAGAGGTGCTCTGGTGCAGCCTTTTTTATTCTCCTTTCCTTCCCTCCAAAAGATATGATAGAATAGTCCTTGAATCCAGTGTCCTCTTGAATTATACAGTTAAACTACTGTGTGAAGATATTACCAAAAATACCTTTTCCTTTGTCTTTCATTTGATAATTAGGGACCTGTAACAACCTCTTAAAATTCATTCTCTTACATGGCTGAATCCCACCACCCCTCTGCTCTGAATTTGTCACAGCTTCACTGTGCTGTTATAGACTTATTTACTATTTATTGCTGTTAAACCGTATATTTTCTAACCTCAGCCTTTGTTGTTTTTGAACTTAAATTCAGTACATGTATTTATCTTGTTAGATCCAACTTTAGTTTTAAACTACTGAAGTCTTTTTGAATCCCGAATTTCTATCCAAGAAGGTGGCCGTCCTTTTTAGCTTTGTAATGTGTACAGATGATCAGCATATATTCTGTTTTTCTTTTTTTTTCCCCTAAGTTAAAATCTTGGCAGGGCCTTTGGCATACCACTGGGTACCTTTTTCCAAAATGATCTTGGTATATTAATCAACTGTTATTCTCTCATGTGGTGTTCTGACCAGTTATAGATCTAGCCATTCTATCATTCTCTGGACCATATGTCTCCTCTTGTCCACAAGAGTATCCTGCATCTGACCAAGTTTCTTGCCAAAGCCCAGATAACCCTTTGCCAGAGAAGGCGGTTAATGGCATAGTGAGAATAGCTTCAAATTTCTACTTAGAAGACCAGGGTTCAAGTTTTCAGACCTACCATTTACAAACCAGGGACTTGGGCTAAACTGCTTAATCTTGCTAAGCTTCAGTTTTCTTATGTATAAAATGAGTATGGTATACCCTCTCACACAGGGTTATTGTGTTGGTTAGATGATATATATGAAAGTGCTGTGTAAACTGTTAGGGCTATACAGTTGTCAGTTCTTGTCAGAATAACCCTATTGATGAAGGGATGAAGCTTGCCTGGCATGACTTGATCTTTTTGAGCAGGCTGGTTCTCAATGATCATGCTTATTTATTTATTTTTTTTAAAGATGACCTGTAAAGGTATCTTAACCCTTGACTTGGTGTTGTCAGCACCACGCTCTCCCAAGTGAGCTAACCGGCCATCCCTATATAGGGACCTGAACCTGTGGCCTTGGTGTTATCAGCACCACACTCTCCCAAGTGAGCCACGGGCTGGCCCTGATCATGCTTCTTTTTTGCAAGTGGTCACTGGTCACCTGCTTAGTAATTTGTTCCAAATTTTTGTCTGGAATTCACTTAAACTTTCCAGTTCAGTGTCTGGAATATAGTTGCATCCTCTTTTGCAAATTGGGGTATTTCCCCTTTCTCATAGCACTTTACCCATTCTTTATGACTGCAGGCAGTGGTTCAGCAGTCTCTTAGTTTCTTAATCTCTCAACCCTTAGGATGTGATTCAGTTGGTTCAGGAGGCTGGCACTCATTTAGTATGGCTAAATGCCTTGTTAAGATTTTACCCAGCTTCAGTCTCTTTTCACCTGTGTTGTTTGTTCTCTCCTATCCATTTTAAATATTAGTTTCCTTGTCAGGGAAAACAGTTGTAAAATAGGAGTTGAACAGTTCATCTTTACATTATTCATGTATTATTCATGTATTTATTATTCATGTTGTATAATCTGGAGAAGGAATGTAATTGACTTTATATATATATATGATCTCCTAAAACATACAGATACCCATATGCAAATTAAGTGGACAAAAAAATCTAAATTTTCTATTTTTGCACCCCCAATTTCTGTGGAAAATCGAAATGATATATACTTACTTTTCATTTCGCAGAGCAAACAATAATAATGTCTAAAGTGTAAAAGCCAGCTTAGGCTTGATATTTAAAAATAAGTAATCTATTGGGCCAGCCCCGTGGCTCACTCGGGAGAGTGTGGCACTGGTAGCGCCGAGGCCACGGGTTCGGATCCTATATAGGGGTGGCCGGTGCGCTCACTGGCTGAGGGTGGTGCGGACAACACCATGCTGGGAGTTGCGATCCCCTTACCGGTCAGAAAAAAAAAAAAATAAGTAATCTATTTTCTTCTTAAATATTTTACTTGGGAATTGTTGTATGAGTATGTCTGATACATGAAAGATGCATTCTCTAGAATAAATCTGTTATATATGTTGAGATGAATATGCTGTCAATTTAGAGGTTTTTGGCAATAAAAGAAGTTAACATTTTAAATCAGTGTACTGAGATATAGATAGGAGTGTATAATAATCCCAAATGGATATTTTTTTTTTGTTCAGGTAAAATGGACCATGGAAGTAATTTGCTATGGACTGACCCTTCCATTGGATGGAGAGACTGTAAAATATTGTGTTGATGTGTATACAGACTGGATTATGGCTTTAGTGTTGCCGAAAGATTCTATTCCACTGCCAGTTATTAAAGAGCCTAATCTATATATTCAAAGTATATTAAAACACCTGCAAAATCTTTTTGTACCAAGGTAAGCTATACCTGTCTGTCTGGCCTGTGTCAGTCCATTTTCTGTTACTATAACTGAATACCTGAAATTGTGTAATTTATAAAGAAAAGCAATTTATTTCTAATGGTTATGGAGGCTAGGAAACCCAAGATTGAGGGGCCACATCTGGTGAGGGCCTTTATGCCTGGTGGGTATTCTCTGCAGAGTGTCAAGGTGGTGGAGGGGATCACATGGCGAGGGGGTTCATGACAGATGGCCAAATTGGCTTTTATAACATACCCACTCTCTTGATAACTAATTTACACCCTGGATAACCCATTAATCTATTAATCCATGAATGGGTTAATCCATTCATGAGTGCTCTGCCAGTCACAAAGGTCCCACCTCAACACCATTGCATTGGGTATCATGTTTCTAACACGTGAACTTTGAGGGGGGCACATTCAAAGCATGGCCCATTATCAGGATTATAGTAAAATATTCATAAATGTTACTGTTTTATATTATAGGAGCTGATTTCATTGTTAGTCCTTTGAGTAGTGGCTTTAATTGTATGTTCAATTAAAGAGTATGTTAATATGAATGGTAGAAGAGATGGGCTTATATAATGTTTACTAGTTTTTAATAGGTATGTATTCATTTTAATTTATTTTTATTCTTATTTTTTAAAAATTAATTATTATTTTTACATTCTCAGATGTTGTTGTAGAGCAGTTGGAGTGGAGGGGGAGAGAGGAATGGGGAGGGGGATAGGGTGGGAGGATGAGGAAGGGAAGGGGGGTTGTGGTCAAGGCTTGTGACACCTTCCTCATTACAGCAGAGGAGCCCAGGGGGCATCTGAGAGTGGCTTGGTTGTGGCTAGGCTGGATGCAGATGTCAGGGGGATGTGGCTGAGGCCCTCAGCCCTCCCTGCCCGGGGCACTTCTGGAGGCGGCGTGGTGGTCATTGCTGGGCTGGATGCGGATGTCGGGGGCATAGCTGAGGCCCTCAGCCCCCCACTGCCCCGGCTCAGGAGCCTGGTGGTGGCCTGGTGGTTGTGACCAGGCTGGGTGCAGGCTTCGGGGGAAATGGCTGAGGCCCTAGGTCCTACATTACCCTGGCTCTGGAGCCCCAGGCACTTCCAGCAGTGGCCTGGTGATTGTGGCTGGGCTGGATGCAGATGTTGGAGGGGCATGGCTGAGTGTTCAATTTAAAGGCTTTTGGCTTTGCTTTTAATAACTGATAACTGTTAGATTTAAAAATACTGTGAAATCTTTCCATTCTACTAAAACAAACAAACAAACAAACATACTTTTGCCTATCATAATTCTTGTCTCCACTTAAGCTAAATGTAACCAAGCCTTCTACCTTAAAACAAATCTTTCGTATGAGAGATTGAAGACATTTAAATAAGCAAACTTGAAATTATTATGGGCAAATTTGTGATAGGTCAATAGATTACTCTCGACACGATATTACTAATTTCTTGTTTCCATCTTCTGAGGCAAAAGCCTGAGTATCATAATGTAAGATAACTGCCTTACTTGTGCTTACATTTTTCCCCCCCCGATTGTGAAAGAATTGTGAATTCTTGTAAAGAATTTGGGAAATATAGAAAAGAACAGAGAAGAAAACATTAGTTTCCTGCACATTTGTGAGGATGTGTTTTTAGCTATGTTTTATATCTGGTGAAAGGGGCAGTGGTGCTTGTCCCCTTTTGGAAAAGTTCTGGTTAGAGCTTTTATTCTGTCAGATGTTGAGGGACTTTGAATCACTCAAAAACCAGCTCTATAAATTTTAACTTTCCAAATTTAGAAGGAAGATTACTTTGGAAAATCTGAATTTAGAAAGAGAGGTCTCCATTAAGAACACTGGTCTGTAGGTTTAGGTGTAAACTCCTTACCTTGCATGAAATGCCTGCTGTAATCTGGCTCCTGACCAGACTAGCTGCTGCCAATTCTGTATGAGCCTAGTCAGACTCATGAATTAAACATTCCTTTAAGGCCCCTTAAAGATATTTCCCATCATCGTCTGCCCTTTTGTCTTCTCCCTCCTACTCTCTGTCTCCCAGCTGTTCACATCTCACTTACTTGGTGGGTAGTCCTAGGTTACAATTTGGGAGGCATGCAGTGTTATTGCTAGCTTGGACGAGTATCAACACTAGGACTGCTAGTGGTATTTTTATTCTGGGCTTCCTTTTATATGGCTAGATGAGATTTGGGACTATTATATAATTTCTTATTCTTCTTTAAGTGAGCCAAGCAACAGACACAGGCTTGAGCCTCATGCCTTTACATGGACTAGATTCATCTCCAGCTGAATATGGGATATCTTCCTACTCTTGGGGCTGTTTAGCTTTACTTAGGCTCATCATTTTGCTTTAGGTCTGACTTCTTTAGGGAAAATTTAGTGATGTCATTTGTTTGCAACTCCAGGGTAAGTGTCCAGTTTTCTGAGTCATGGCCCAGAATCTAAGAATCTCTATTCTGAAGTCAGGGTGAGTGTTCTAGAGGCACTCACTTCATTTTCTGGAATTTCTTGAGAAGGATCTGAGATTTCCTACTCTAATTCAGACATGTCTCTATCAGTTCTTTGTAACATAACAGTATATAGAAACTTGGCTTCAAGATTTATTTTAGTAATATTAGATACTTGTCTTGGGTTTCACATAAGAGGTCTGGAGGTGAGCTCACTATTTGATAATACAGTGGGTTTCCTACTATTCTCGAAATTCTCAAGTGGTTCACTTTGGAAAGTGGTGATAAGGGCTGGGGCTTGGACCTCTATCTTCCTCTTCAACCCCAGCTATAATACTTTGATCTATTTTATAGATTGGCCTTCTTTATAAGATTTTCTTTGGAAAAAAATGGTCCTGAGGACTTAAGAGAGTTTTTAAACTATTGTTCTAGGGTATCTTGGAAAACTTTGGAGCCCCCATCTTGGGTTAAGTTGCCTTTTTTTTTGTCTTTTTTCGTGACCAGCAACGGATCGCAAACCTCAGTGTCGCACCCGTACCGGACCGGGACTGGCCACGGGATCGCAACCCTCGGTGTTGCTCCCGCCCCTCGCTCAGCCAGTGAGCGGCCGGTCTGTATGCGGGATCCGAACCTCCAGCGGGAGCACCACTGCGCTTCCCAAGCGGCGCACTATAGCAGTGCGCCACCGGGCCGGCCCTAAGTTGCCTTTTTTATTAGAGCAGCAGTAGTAGGTGCTCATTTCTGAGGCAATGCTTACATACCTCATCAATTTGGGGGACCTGTTAGGATATTTTATTGGGCCCATAGCCTCTCTGGCAGACATTAGCTTTGGAAGGGACTGTGACCAGTATGAAATCACATGTAGAATTCTTATGAATGTGTATTTTAAAAAATTTAAAAAGAATCCAAAGGCCATTGTATTTAAATGTGAATAGCAGGAATGGCTGTGGGTATTTACTCATTCATTCAGCAGAAACATATTGAGTGCCTTCTGTTAGTGCTAGGCCCATTTTAGACATAGAAAATCCAGAGGTGAGGTTTACATTCTAGTATTCCCCCTTTCTCTCAGAAGCTTTCCAAGTTTCAAAGGAGTGGCAAGTTGAGATCCCAGAGTGCTAACTTGTATAACAGGGAAGAAGTAGCTTTAAACTGAAGAGGGTGTGCCTAGCTCTGTCTGCTGATGCTGTTAGGGAGCTTCATCAGACCACTGCTTGCTGCATCTGTAAGTTGCCTGTCCTTAAGCTGTTGCTGTCTCTCCTCCAGGCTTGTCAGTGATATCTGTCTGTCTTCTTCAGACAGGAACAGGGCTCCAGTCAGATCCGACTATGCTTACAGGTCCTGAGAGCCATTCAGAAACTGGCACATGAGTCATCCATCATGGCCCGCGAAACCTGGGAAGTCTTACTGTTGTTTCTTCTGCAGATTAATGACATACTTCTGGCCCCACCAACTGTTCAAGGTTTGTTTATTTTTTAAAAAATTGATTTCTAAGCTCCAAATACAGTTCATCTTTAAATTCAATGAGTGGTAGACTTATTGGAGATTTAAATTTTGGCATGACAATTGTCAAAACAAGGTTAACAATTCTTAGAATGGAAACCCTCAAAGCCACAATATGACTTTAACACTAATGAAGTTATTTTACCCTCAGTGATGATTTTGCTAATGTAGGGAGGGACTCAGTGAATTATGCATGTTTTATAATGATAGGAACAGCAGCTTATTTAGTTTATTATGATAGAGCCTATGTAAGAAATAACTAGCTAATTAAACTAGGGCCTATATATAATGTACCTGATTACAAAATAGTTATCAAAGTACAATGTGAAAAGTTGATAATAACAGAAAGTATTTTGTTAAGCAAGTGAAAACACCAGAGTGCTTCCAGGGCTCAGAACTGAGGAACAGCTCTGTTCTCATGTTTAAGGCTCTGTCTTGTCTGGCACTAGTCTTTTTGCTTCCTTATTTGTCTCTCTCTCACTTGAAGGGTGGCTTTCAAACACCTGGAGCATTTTATGGCAAAGTTTGGAGGTAGAAAGACCTGGATATTTGTTCTGATTCCTTCACTTATTGGCTGTGTGAACCTGGAGTAGTTGCTTAAACTTGCTGAACCTAAGTTTTCTGATCTTCAAAATGGGTATTATTTACAATTGATAATAGGTATTACAAATACCTGCCCTGCAGAATTACTGTGATGATTATGTGAGATCATGTGAATGAACTGCTTGACACAGAAATTGATTCATTGTAGCCACTTGTCCTTTCCTTTCACCCCTGTGTGCCCCTGTCCTTCTTGCTAGAAGATTAGGATCTTCAGTAAGAACTGAGCAAGGCAAATTTAAAATTTTCAAAGTAATAATTTGCTGAGGTATTCATGATTTTCTTCATAGGAGCTCCTAAGACTCACTTCTCATTTTTGCTAATAAATAGTTATTTGAAAGTCAAAAGTTAACGTGCATTTATTTTAATTTTTTGACAAATCAAATCAGTGAATTAATCAGTGACTCTGGTTTGAGAATACGTATGCCAAGGATATGTTTTCTTTTTATTGGTAAGGTGGCATTGCCGAGAATCTGGCAGAGAAGTTGATTGGTGTTCTCTTTGAGGTGTGGTTACTAGCTTGTACTCGGTGCTTCCCAACACCTCCTTATTGGAAGACAGCGAAGGAAATGGTGGCTAACTGGAGGCACCACCCAGCAGTGGTGGAGCAGTGGAGCAAGGTGATCTGTGCACTCACTTCCCGGTAGGTTGTCATCATTAGCTTACTTGCCTTCATCCGTCTGATCTCAGGTGGCTTTTCCCTACTTCTGTGTCTTTCTGGGATCCAAGGAATATACCTTTTAGAATAATCAAGTATTTTTGAGAAGCAGATAAATTCTGCACCCTGTTTCCCCTCCCCCCAATCCTACTCTTAATTCTGATTATTAAAAATATGAACGATCATTATTTTAAAGAAACAAACCATAGAAAGGTATAACAGAAAAGTTTACCAGAAATCCTACTATATATATATATAACCAAAGCAGGCATTTTTTATAATAATAATTTTACCGTTTTACCATTTATGTATAATACCATCACTGTTCTGTGAGTAAACTGTTAGGTTTTATTTTTTTAGCCTATTTTTTTCATTTTAGTCCTATGTATTTTAATATATAACTCTAAAAGATAAAGGTTCTTTTAAAAACGTAATCATAATACCATTGTCACACCTAAAAAAGTTTGCAGTTCTTTAATGTCAGTTAGCCAGCATTCAAATTTCACTGTTATGTCTCATCTTTTTTGTTACAGTTGATTCTGTTATATCGGAAAGCAAAGTTCAGACATTGCATTTAGTTGACATGTTTCTTAAATTCTATTTTAAACTATAGATTCCTGCTCTCTCATTTTTATTTCTTTGCAGTTTTTTTTGTTGAAGAAACTGTATTGTTTGTCTTATTGAGTGTTCAACATTCTCTATTTTTCCAAAAATGTCCTTGTTGTGTTAACGTGTTCCCCTGTTCCCCATATTTTTTGTAAACTGGTAGTTAGATACAGAGACTTGATCTGATTCAGGTTTGCTTGGGGGCAAGGGGAAGAGTGGCAGGAACAAATACTTTAAAGGTGGCGTTACGTATCACAGGGTAGATTGGTCATTTTCTGCAGTAATAAAATGTTTATATCTTTATCATTTAAACTAAAAGATGAAGCTTTGGAATATTTTATTGATTCTGGTATATCATGATGAGTGAATATTATGAACCTATTTTCAAATAATGCTTTCAGGGCCGGCCCGTGGTTCACTCGGGAGAGTGCAGTGCTGATAACACCAAGGCCACGGGTTCAGATCCCGTATAGGGATGGCTGGTTTGCTCACTGGGTGAGCGTGGTGCTGACAACACCAAGTCAAGGGTTTAGATCCCCTTACCGGTCATCTTTAAAAACAAAACAAAACAAAACAAAACAAATAATGCTTTCATCTTAATTATATAAGTAATAGGTGCTTGAAAAGCAAATTTGGAAAGCTTATGGGGAAATATTCATTATTTAGAGATAACTAGTATTAATATTTTAATGTATTTTTTCCATTTAGTTCCCTGTTTTAAAAAAACAATTTGAGATTCTATATAGTATTGTTATCAACTTTTTTCATTTGATGTCTGATTCTTGTCACTTTAATTATATGTACTTTTTTTTTATTCTTGAAAAGGTCTTGAGATCATATTTTTAATGGCTTTGTAGTTTTCCATTATATAATTGGAAATATAATTTATTAAATAATTTCCCTATTGTTTTGATATTTATGTTCTTTGCAGTGTTTTACTTTAAAAATATTCTTCATATGAATACCGCTAATATAGGGAATTTTGACTAGTCTTTGGAAGGCAGCTATGCTCACCACTATACCACCGCCGCCCCTTGAGTAGTCTTTGAATGCATTCTGATTGTTTTATTGAGATATAGTCCCTAGATATAGAGTAATTGAGTCAAAGGGCTTTGAACAATTTTAATACATTTAATACATTTAAATTAAGTAATTGAGTTGTTGAATTGAATTATTTTTATTGTACACCGTATATTTTAACTTCATGTAAAGTTATTATGAATAAATTATAGCTTAGTTAAGTTGAAGGAGTTTGCAGTAGGATGAATCTTTGAAAAAAAACTTAAATGATTTATCTGTATTATAATTTTTATTATATGATTATATAATTATAAATTCATTACGTATTATATAAATACACTATTATATATAAGTAATATAATTAATAAATTATTTAAACAAAAATTAAGTGTTTTAAATAATAATTTTAAAAATCTTTTGAAAAACTGGAAATCCCCTTCTGTTTGTCTATTTTATAAATGAGGGTTTTCATATGTCTTGTTTTCTTAAGGTAGATGTTTCATCTCTTTTATATTTCTATGCTTGGATATTTTTTTCATTCTGTTAAGAATAGACTTAGTGGTGTGCTTTGTTTTCTAGATTGCTACGCTTTACATATGGTCCTTCATTTCCTCCATTTAAAGTTCCTGATGAAGATGCCAGTCTGATCCCTCCAGAAATGGATAATGAGTGTGTTGCACAGACATGGTTTCGTTTTTTACATATGTTGAGGTATTGTTCTTTTATTATTTCACATGCTTGTTACCCAGCAGTGTCTTAGGTCAAGAACCACGCTGTAATTCTCTTGCTGGAATTCAGAATGTGGTTCCTAAGCACAGTCCACCCAATGAAGCCAAATTGGACAACAAGCACATCTACATCATGTGCCTCCTGCTTTCTCTATTCTAGCCAGGTTAGGCTATCCTCTGCTGGGTTAGGCTATCCTCGGCTACTCTTGGTTTATATTCTCTAGGAACTTGTTCCCTGTGGTAGTGGTAGCACTTGTTGTCTTGCCTATTGCTGCAGCCTGCATGATGGTACCCAAGACCATGTCACATTCTGTGGGGGCTGGAGACTGCTTTGCTCCTCTCTGTGTCCAGCACCAACTAGTTAGTCTGGCTCTCAGGGCCCTCTTTTAGTACGATTGTTTACAATTTCACTGAAAGATATGCCCTAAAATTTCACAGACGGATATACCCCTACTTCCTGCTATCCCTTTCTTTATACTAATTCTATTCAGCTCAGTTTCATTGCTTCCTACTTGTTCCTCTTCCAGCTCCATCCATGTGCTCTGTGGAACTTTTATACTGTTATGAACTTGATGATTCTTAAAAATTTTTTCTCGCATATCTTCTCTTTCTGGTTTGACTAGCTTCATTTTTATATTTGTGTATTAGTGATTCTAAATTACTCTGACCTTTTTATAAATTAGGGATATTAACCATTTTCTATCATTGCTTTCCAGTTTGTAGTTGTAGTTTGTTTTTCAGCTTTCATTGATTTTTGTTTTAAATGTCTTTTTCTGTGATCATTTTCTATTTCCTTTAAGATTAGAAAATTTTTGTGTTCTTTAGTCAGATGGATATTAATGAATGCTTTCTTCTAGTTTTGTTTTCTTTGTGATATTGAATACATACCAAGATCTGTCTTTAGTTTGCATATTATTCTATTAATTTCTTAATTTATTCTTATACCAGATTCACACTTTTAATTATTTTAACTTTATCTCTCTTAGAATATTCTTTCTCTTCTTGCCTGTTTAACATTTTTGATGAATTTAAGAATCAGTTTGTCAATTATTTTGTATATTACAATATACAAGCAAACAGAAAAATCTCACAAAACCTTTTGTGTTTTGGAGTGTGTATTAATTAGAGTAATGAACATGTCCTGCTTTAGAAATTGAACCTGAAAGTCTTTCATAAAGTATGGGGTGGAGAGAAGCTCTGCTCACATAGTCGTACAGGGACCCAGGTTGGCAGAGTTTCTGCCGTCTTCAATATGACTCTATTAGGGCCTCAGCATTGTAAGCAGGAGCCTTTGTATCTGGCTAGCAGATAGGGAAGAGCAAGCAAGGAAAATTGTGTGGAATGTTTCTGTGGGCCAGGCCTTGAAGTGATGTAAATTGCTGCTACTCATATTCCATTGGCCAGAATTCACACACATGCCACACTTAATTGCAAGAGAACATGAGGAAAAGAGAAAGAGATAGAACAGCTATCCAGACTCCACCAAGATAATTGTTTTCAGCCTCTATTTATATTTAGGAAAAGCTGATAATCTCATTATATTGAGTCTGCCTTTCTAAGAGCATGTATTATTATTTTTTAGAGTCTTATTTATCTTACACAAGTGTTTTGTACAGTTCCTTCGCAAAGATTTGTATATTTCCTTTACCATTATTCCTAGATATTTATTGCTGATGTTGTGAAAGCTAACTTTTTTCTGTTATCGTATCTTCTAGGTGGCTATTGCTACTGTAAAGAACATTTTTTACTTTATTTGGTATTTGTATACTGTATATGGGCATTTATTATTATTTTGGGGGGGCAATTGGCCAGTACAGGGATTGAACCCTGGACCTTGGTGTTATCAGCACCATGCTTTAACCAACTAAGCTAACGGGACAACCCTATAAATGGGCATTTAAAGAGCCCTGGGTATTTCACTGATTGTTCTGAAATTTCTAGATATATTGGACACATATCTTTAAATAAGAAGTGTCTCTTTTCGGGCCGGCCCGGTGGCGCACTGGATAAGTGCGCCGCTTGGGAAGCGCGGCGGCGCTCCCGCCCGAGGGTTCGGATCCCACATACAGACCGGTTCCCGCTCACTGGCTGAGTGAGGCGCGGGGGCAACACCGAGGGTTGCAATCCCGTTGCCGGTCCCCGGTCCGGTACGGGGGCAACACTGAGGGTTGCGATCTGTTGCCGGACACGGAAAAAGACAAAAGACAAAAAAAAAAAAAAAGAAGTGTCTCTTTTCTGGTAATTCATTCTTAAGTATTTAGTGATTAATCAAAAGTGCTATGGGTGCAGTAATACCTAGACTTGAGTTCAAGTTCTGTTAGTTTTTTCTTTGTGAATTTGAGAAAACATTTTAGTTTCTCTGTGCCTCAGTTTATTTTCAGTCTATGAAATGGGGATAATAATTGTACTCATCTTGTAAGAATTTTTTTTTTTTTTTTGTGGCTGGCCAGTACAGGGATGGAACTCTGGACCTTAATGTTGTCAGCACCATGCTCTAAACAACTGAGCTACCTTGTCTGTTCCATGTTATAAGAATTAAAAAAGAAAAACCTTATAAAACAGTGCAATGCCTAGTACATGGTAGCTGCTTGAAAAGTTGCTATTATTTCTGCATAGTATTTTACTGCATTTGACAGAACTTCTAGAACACTGTTGAATTAAAATGATACTGTTTGGCACCCTTCTTTTGTTCTGATTTTCATTGAAATGGCTCTAATATAGGGAATTTTGAGTAACATGTTTGTTGTTGATATTAGATTTTTTTTATGCTTCTGGTTTCCTAAGCAATTAAAACATTTAAAAAATATAAATAAAATTGGGAATAGTATTGAATTTTTCCCCATCATATTTTGGGAACTATTTAAGCAATTAAGTGGTTTTTCTTCTTCGACCTACTGTTGTGATATGTATTAATTTACCAAAGTCAAACCATCCTTCACTCCTGAGAGAAAAGTTTTGCTTGCTTATGGGATGCTATTTTAATGTTTTTCTGAATTGTTTCTAGTTCTATCTTTTTGGCTTAATTTATGTTTTGGTAACTTAAAAAAAAAGAATAGGAACAATTTCTATCCTCTGTTATGCTCCTATTATGTGAAAGTTATATGTTCCTTGAGAGTTTGAAATAAATGACTGGTAAAACTCTAGTCTTGGACTCTTTTTTTAGAGGTAGTTTTTGGATCATCTTTTCTCATTTCTTCACTCTTAATTGATCTCTTCAGGCTTTCTTTTTCTTCTAGATCTGACTTCAGTGTATTACTCAGGGTTCTTTTGGATGTAAAGAATAGAGACCTACGTGTGCAAATGCAAGTGTAAAGGGGATGTTATTATGTGATGATAGAGAGGTATCACTGGCCTCCAAGAAGTGGTAAACAAACCAGTCCTCATGTTGGGGAGGGATCAAGGCAGCCTTGAGAAAAGGCACTCTGTCATCTGACCCTTGCTATTCTCTTTCTCCAGCAGGCTTCCCCCACTGAGTCCCTGTTTCCTTTTGCCTTTTAGGGCTACATGCAACCCCATAACTCTCCAGTGCTGTAAACAGCTGTGATACTGTGTGACTTCAACTCTAGCCCTTTCAGTTCACTGGGGCTTCCCTTTTCTCCGATTTTCCAAAGGGATAAATTGGATCAAATTATTTTTGTTACTTAGGCTACTTTAATTGTAGTTCTCTAGCAGACATCTTTTGGACAGTCTTAAATGAGCTGTGGGTGGATGGGAGGATTACTCAGAAGGGGCTACTGTGGTCATTGGGAAATATCCTTGGAAGCAGGCTGAATATTATGGGGAGGCAGACACCAAAATTTTGTCTAGAATGGTAATGCTTTGTCTTTTTCCAAGAAAAACAAAAAATGTTTCCCGTTGATTTTACTACTACTGTCCTCAAATGCTTGTCCTTGGACTTGTTTGTGCATGACCACCTGCCCTTCAGGCCCCACCTGGAGATTCTGTTTTAGTAAATTTAGGTGGAATCTGGATATTCAATAGGCTCCCCAAATACGTCATGTACACAGGGCATTGGGAACTGCAGGAATGCTGTCTCGCTATCCTTTGTTATCCATTCTCATTTCAGATTTTATTTATATTCTTAAATCTTTTTTCTGAATATTTAGGTGCCAATAAAATCATTTCTGGTTTATATCTGGAGGAGCTGGTATAAGCCTTTTTCTCCCCAACTTTCAGTGTCTAATAGACATAAATTTAGCAGAGTTCTGATGGACTGAGTTGTATTCATTGCAACCTTACTCTCTGTTTTTATAATTTCTGAACAGATGAATTACAACCTCCAACAAGCACTGCTGCTAGAGACTTCTTAACCTGCTCTACCCCACATGACAAACTACAGTTCTCTGTGTGCTACCATTAGAATGCCATTTTCCATACATGCACATGCTCTCCCCTTTCCTCACTAACTGTTACTTGAAATTGAGTCTTTGGGTGGAAAAGTTTCAAAGGGCAGAACACGTATGAACCACTGATTTCTATTTTTTCATCCTAGTTCTTTTGCCTTGTAGCTAGTGGAAATTCTTTCTGTCAGTAACAATATACTTTGAGTTGGAGAGGCTGTTTAATCAACAGCTAAGAAGACCATTTTGAGTGGAAATCTAAATCTATTTTTTAATGGAAATATTTAAAATTGTTTGTACATAAAATGTAACTCAAGCCGAAATACACTGTTTTGAAATGTATGGCTTTACTACATATATATGAACACAATATAACACTGTATATGTAACTATAACACTAATCCTGAGTTCCAAATAGTTTTTTTTTTTTTTTTTAAAAGATGACCGGTAAGGGGATCTTAACCCTTGACTTGTTGTTGTCAGCACCATGCTCAGCCAGTGAGCGAACCGGCCATCCCCATGTGGGATCCGAACCCGGGGCCTTGGTGTTATCAGCACCGCACTCTCCCGAGTGAGCCACGGGCCGGCCCTCCAAATAGTTTTTTAAAAATTAGGAATGTTAATATTGAAGTAAAATTTTCTCCTTGGGGTTCTTGTAGACTTATTTACAGCTTTCCCATCCCATTGCTTAATTCCATGTATTAAAAAATATCCATGTATTCATTCTCTGAATAGGCAGAATAAGTTCATGTAAACACACTGCAGATCTTCTATAATGAAGTGTTGATGTTTGAATCCCTAGCCCATTAAATACAGATCCTCTCTGAATCAAAGAAATAGGCACAAATGGTCCTGTTCTTAAATTAGATTACATGCATTTTATTGCTGTAGTAATTTCTAAATGTGTAATTATTTCTTCTCTCTCTTTTGATAGTAATCCCGTGGATCTGAGTAACCCAGCCATTATAAGCTCTACTCCCAAATTTCAGGAACAGTTCTTGAATGTGAGCGGAATGCCGCAAGAGTTGAATCAGTATCCCTGCCTTAAACATCTGCCTCAAATATTTTTTCGTGCCATGCGTGGAATCAGCTGTCTGGTGGATGCATTCTTAGGTGAGTTTTGTGTATGTTGCTAAATGTATAAAGAGCTACATTCAGATAACTCTAATATCTAAGAAGTTACTGTGGAAAGTCCAAAGGAAAAGATGAACAGATTTGATGACAACAAACTAGAAAAACTTATGTACAACAAATATAGTAGCTAAAGGGTTATTGTTGTCTTTGTATAAGTAGATCAAACAAAATACTAAGAAAAAGAATAAGACCTAGTAGATAAATGTACAAAGGATATGAATAAATGATTTGCAAAAGAGAAAAGTGTTCATTCACAAGAAAATACAGATTAAAATGCAGTAGGGACCATTCTCGTGTATCATTAGAAAGCAAATTATACCTTTTGTGAACCATTGTTTTAAAATATTTTTCCATTTAAGATAAATGAAAAATCAGAATTTTTTTAACCTGTTAAAAGGCAGTGATATTTAATATATGTCATTTTCTAAAACATTTGTTATGTGCACTTGTTAATGTATTACGCAGTTAATGTATTAGTTGTGATTAAGTTTGGCTGCCACATAACAACCAAAAATCCCATTGGTTTATAGTTTATCTTCACACACGTTAAATCAGGGCTAGGTGTGTTGTAAGGCTGATATAGCAGTTCCATCACGGTCAAGGATCCAAGGCCCTTCATCCTTTGTGCACTGCCTCATGGGCCATGACAGTTGAGTGAGTTCCAGCCATCCTGTCCAGGAATTAGGGAGGAAGGAGAGTCTATACCTGATTGGTTCTTTTAAGGAAATCTCTTAGAAGACCTACCTAACAATCACCCACTTCTCTGTGGTCAGAACACAGCCACATCTAGCTAGCCGCAAGGGAACCTTGAAAATGTAGTCATTTATTCTGGATACCCATGTCCAGCTAAAATACGTGTTCTGTTATTCAGGAAGAAAGAATGAATGGGTATTGGGAGGCAACTAGCAGTCTCTGCTATAGTCTGTGTGTCTCAAGCTTTCACTCATGTTGCTTGGGGAAGATTTTCTGGTCATGTATTTTGAACTATGAAGAATAACTCCATTTGTCTTTTTTTTTTATAAGGCATTTCTAGACCCCGATCAGACAGTGCTCCTCCAACACCCGTAAATAGATTAAGTATGCCTCAGAGCACTGCTGTCAATACCACCCCACCACATAACCGGAGGCACCGGGCTGTTACTGTGAATAAGGCTACCATAAAGACAAGCACAGTAAGAGTTTTCATCACCATTGTTCTGCTGTAAAAGGTTGACTTTTTAATCTGCTATCCTTTTTAAAAGTCCTGCCATTTTCTCAAACTTTTTTGGGTGTGGGTGTATTCTTGTGTTCTTTTAATAGGTTAGTACTGCTCATGCCTCGAAAGTTCAGCACCAGACATCCTCCACCTCTCCTCTGTCAAGTCCAAATCAGACTAGTTCAGAACCCCGGCCACTGCCTGCCCCTCGAAGACCAAAGGTTAACAGCATCTTGAATCTCTTTGGATCATGGTTATTTGATGCAGCATTTGTTCACTGTAAACTTCATAATGGGATAAATAGAGACAGCAGCATGACTGGTAAATATTGCTCAAGAAATATGTTATCATTTCTTTTCCTTTTCTTTTTTTTTTTTTTTTAATCTTTCCTACCTGCAAGATTAATATGTATCTTAAAAAGCTCTGTTTCTGACCAAGCAATGTCTTGTGCTTAACCCCTTCCAGCTGAAGTAAGAACTTTGGAATTTTTCCTACCTGTTCTTTTTATGTGTTCTATGAGGTTGGCCTTTTGTCTAGTTTTATTAGACACACTTCAGGTTAGTCACTTTTTGTTGAATCAAATTACTTTCAGTAGGTGACCTGGAAGTTCCCTTCATGTCAGCCAGGATAATATTCATATGAAGAATTAAAGATTTTCTCTGCAAATGTACTCAGAAGAAGTGTTTTCTTCGATTTTGACAGCCCTTCGCTCATTAGTACAAGTAAACATTAGAAAATACCTGCTTCTCAATAGACTATAACCTGTAAGGTTTTAGTCTAGAGAATTACCATTTGCTCTGTAACTTGGTAAGACTGGTAGAGAATTAATAGCTGAACCCTGATATCTTCATTTAGATTTTATTATAGAAATGAAACTGTCTAAATAAAATCTGATTTATTTTTGTCATCTCACCATTATCCTTGGAGGTAGTGTTGTAGGGTACAGGATGGATGGGTGGGGTAGTGCATAATGTTTTGAATATTTTGGATATATCTTTGAGACCTGGAAAATAATAATGGCTGGCACTTATTGCGTTGCAGTTACTATGTGCCAGGCACTGTGATGTATGTATTAAGGAGTGTATTGGTTGTTTAGTAAGAAAACACTTTTCCACTGGAGTTGGAAATAAATTGAGATTAAAAGATATTTAATTGCATTAGTTTATGCATCTCTAGGGAAAATGTTAATTCTAAGAATTAAACTAATGTAAGAATCCTAAGGGTCTCTGGTTTCTCTCAGAAATTCATTCTTAGCTATTTAGTATCATCTTAGAATTAGGGTCTATGTCTGTGAACATTATACACATATAATTATTTTGAATGTTCTTACAAATCTTTTAAATAATTTAGAGAAGTTGCAAATATAAAAATTTTCAGGAATATGATTTGAGATGCGTGCTTGACTTTAGGGATTCCTTTGCTTACTTTATTTTGCTCAAATTTAGACACTTTATATTCTTCCATTTCCATATTATAATTTTATTCACAAGTTGTAAGTAGTGCTCAGTTATGTATAAATAAATGTGCTTGCTTACAATGACTAGGTGAACATTTTTTAAAAACTACTTTTGGGTTATATTTTCTTTATGTTCATGTACCTTTTGAGTTTTCTGAATCATGTTTATATTTATTAATTGGTATTGTATTTTCTAGAATGAGTCAGCCTTATTTTAATTTTTTATTTTTATTAAAATGCAATTCTTACAATGTAACTTTTGGGTATATAGAGCTATTGACACTGAAATACCTGAATCCAGAATGGCTCAACCTGCTGCTTCGTTGGTGGGCTTGCTTTAAGGGAACTTACAGATCTGCTCTCTAGGGAGTTTGTAACAGCTTTGCTCACCCTCTAGCACCAGAAGTTAGAAACCAGAATTCAAATCATGTGAGCAATATCTTACTTTTAACTCTCAACGTTGTTTTTGGCGGGGAAAGGAAAGAAGTTCCTCTTCTCATTGTGTTTGGAGATGATAAAAGCTGTTACATTACCCAAGAGATAATGAAGTGTCCAAATAGTTGAAGGGGTTAGAGTGCCGTTGGGTAGCAATCTTGAGGTCTTGGGGATGGTGGTGGGAGGCTTGGGTATACTAACTGTTTACTAAGTACTGGCTGCCATCAAGGAATTCTGCCATGTAGTTCACCTCTAACTTAAAATGTTTGCTTCTTTGAACTGGTTAGCTTTAGATTTACCTAACAGTACGTTGTGCTTTGTAAAAGTAATATTGAGCTGGGAAGGGTTAATGAACTAAAATTTTAATGCACGTTCTGGGCAGTTCAAAATCTCAGTTCTTTGTGGTTGTGTAATTTTCTTCTTTCATTGTTTTGCATGATACAAAAATCATAATTTTGGACCTGAATGCACACTTTCCTATGTTTTTGAACTAGCTTGTGGTATCGTAAAGCTTTTAACCTAACTTTTAAAAAGCTGAAAAGCTTCTTAACTTACTGTAAAATTTCACCATCTTTAAAGTATTTTATAATTACTGCTGTCCTTTGATTTGTTTCCATTTATTTCTATTATCTTGCAGCATCTTTTATCCAAATTCTTCTTTCTTATAAATCTTGTAAGTAGGAATCAGAAGCTTCTCCTTAATTGCAGTCATGTTTTTATTTTTTTTCATAATTCCATTAAAAAATTGATTGTCATTGTCTCTTGTAGTTTTTGCACTTGGGAAGAAAAATACTTTTCTGTGTTTTGAATGGGGAAGATTGCTGGCAAAAGCAAATTAATCTGCCTGAATCAGTCCCATTATTTCTGTATACTAGTCTGGTCATGTCATGAATTCCAGGACTTTGCACTAACTGTGTTTTGGCTTTTTTTTTTTTAAGCTTTGAGATTATTTTTATACAGATTTAGTGTTTGATTTGTATGCATTCTGCATGTAGTGTTTTCCAAATGTATTATTGCTGGGTTTATTCAGGACTAAAAATGGCTCATGGGAAGTTGCATAAAGATTTATGCTTGATTTTGCATTCTATTAAATCTATATCACAAAATAATTTAAACATTTCGTGTAGAGTAATAAAAGATTTCAGAGTGATTTTCAATACACCGTGAAATCTTTTGTTAAAAATGAAAGCAACTTTCGAAGGGCTTCTGTTTCAGTGACAATGAATGACCATGGTAATCTTTCTTACCAATCCAATTTTCTTATTTATCAACCTCAAGTTAGCTGCTGTCTGTGGTTGTTAAAATTCATTCTCATTTTGCTTTGTCGGGCAATTCTTTGGTGTGTGTTTTGGAGCTGGGTGGGTGGTGGGAATGCTCTCTCTTCCTCCATATCCATTTCTTGTCCTTACTTCTTCTCCCTAAAGTATACAAACTGGCATGGGGTTGCCCATTTAATTATGATGTCCATCTGGGGTAATATGCAAATTGCAGTAGCTATTTTTCTTAATGTTTAAGCATAATTCTATAGGGGGAGGAAAAACCAAAATAAATAATAGAAAATCCAAATTCTGTATTATATCCGTATATAAATACAGATATATACAAATGTACTCTTCTGATCAAAAATTCAGTTGAAAAATGCTTCTTGTAGAATCTGTTAAACTGACAATACCACTGTAAATTGTTACCCATTTTCAAAGATTTCAGAGAGCCCTTTGTTAAAAAAAAAATTAAGACATAGTTGCAAAACAAAAGCATTATTGGATACTATTGAAGTAGCTATTTAATGACACCAACATTTGATCTTTGTGTCCAGGGTCCCATGAGCCTATTTGGCCAATGGATAAGTATAATAAAACCTTAAGACATAGTTGCAAAACAAAAGCATTATTGGATACTATTGAAGTAGCTATTTAATGACACCAACGTTTGATCTTTGTGTCCAGGGTCCCATGAGCCTATTTGGCCAATGGATAAGTATAATAAAACCCTCCTTTTCTCTCCCCAGCCATCACAACACAAGCTAGCATGGAATTTCGACGGAAAGGGTCACAAATGTCCACAGACACCATGGTTTCCAATCCTATGTTTGATGCAAGTGAATTTCCTGATAACTATGAAGCAGGAAGAGCTGAGGCTTGTGGGACACTGTCAAGGATTTTTTGTAGCAAGAAGACTGGAGAAGAGATTCTGCCAGCTTATTTATCCAGGTCTTAGAATTTTTTGTTTGTTTTTCCATTTATGTAGTTTTAATAGTAAAACTTTATTGTAGTGTGACTCAGTAGGCTGAATTGATAAGTAAATGTTGATCTAAAATATCTGCAGATGTCTGTAAATAGTTGAAATTTGCTTGAATTCTTCCGTTTTACCTGCCTCATCAGATTTGGTGAAGTTCCCTAACAATTTTTATTTTAGAAATGTTTCATCTTATATGAATTTTATTAATTATGGAGATATTTGGAAGGACCACAATAATTTGTTAATAAATTTTTAGCACAGTATTAGGCACTGCAGATAGTCCAGAAATAAATCATCTATAAATCCTGCCTCCAAGGAGCTTATTTTCTGGAGTGACCATAGCCACGTACACAAGTTACAATGATCTGATAGGAATAGGAAGTTGGTAGGAGAGGGGCGCAGATAAAGTGCTGTGGATATTCAGAAGAAGAAGCAGGACATGCTTACACTGGGGGGTTCAGGAAAGGGTTACAGAGGACTGGATGATTGGGCTGGACATATAAAGGATGGGTAGAATTTAGACTATGTTAGGAAGTTGAGTTGGGTCATCTTATCCAAATCTCTGCCTTCAACTGTTTTTGTGAATGGCTCTGCCATTCATTTAGTTACTCAGGCCAGAAACCAGGAGTTATTTTAGACTCTTCTTCTTTCCCTCTGTTTCTTTAGTTGGTCAACCAAGCTTTCTGCTGCTTAACTCTCTTTCTAATCCCTCTTTCCACTTGGTCCCCATATGACACTTCAAACTTTGTCACTTTTCTCCTAAATTAACTTATAATGGCCTCCTGTTACTTGCCCTCCTCAATTTGATCATTCACACAGCTGCTGAAGTGAGGTTAATATCAGTAAAAGCATTTAGGTATCTGTGTACCTGCTAGGTTCTCAGGAGAGAGGATTAAACTGACTGTCAGAGGGAACCAAGTACAGAAGCTTTTAGGCATGAAAAAGAATGGCATATGCAGGGAACTAGTCATGGGTATCTTAACCATAGGCTCTTGGCTTTACAGAAACCCTCTCAATCTTATTTAAGTAAAGGGAATGAACTATGAGAAGCTAGTGATATTTAATAAATCCTAAGGTCAGTAAGTACAGCAAAGCCTCACGAAGAATAGGAACCAGTATTCAAGGATCAAAACAACTTTTCTGCTTTCTGTTTCTCTGTCTTCATGGTCTCCCAGAACTGTTTCATTCTTTTCTTCTCTGCAGATCATTTTTTTATATTGCAGTATGCTTCTGAGCTCCCAGTTTCCATGGCCTTGGTCTAGGTGACCAGTAGAGCCAGTTAGCATCTCTGAATTCTAATTTCAGATTCCTGGGAAAGAGGATCCGATTAATCAGGTGTCTGTTGTTTGTCTCTGGTCTAATCAGCTATAGCTGTGAGCGTGTGTCACAGAAGAGTGCTGGTTCTCAACCTTTGTGGTGAGGGCACTTTTTTCAGTAGGGAGACCATGGGTTGGGGAAATACCCTAAATGGTGTCAATAGCAGTAAGGGAGAAAAAGAAGGCTTTCTGACTGGCCCATAATGCTGGATTGGTGGTAGTATGACAAACCAAGAGAACAGATTTATGAGAGGACAAATGATGAATTTAATTTTGAACGTACTGAATTTGAAGGGCCTTTGGGATATTTATCAACAAATATTTATTAAGCACCTATTTTGTGCCAGATGTACACAGGAATACTATAGTTATCCATAGACATAGTTTACCCTCAGCTATCCAGTAAGCTTTTGGCTAACAGAAGTAGTAGTAGAAGAGTGTACCAATGTAGTACTCTTTAATGACAGGTGATTGAATGCTTAGTGAGTTGATTGGGAGTGGGGGTTAAAAAAGTAAGACATGTTCAGGTATATTAAAGGAATCTTATTCAAAGTGACCTTCATATCATGATGAATAGCATTGAATGAGATTTCTTTGTTACTGTCTCCCCAAAAATAATGGCGAAGAGGAAAAAAATGCAAACACACTTCTTTCCCCTCAGGCATTGTGAAATGCTGCAAAATTTTATTGCCCTGGAATTCAGTAATTTCACCAGTTTATTGATAAGTACTGCAGCCATTTGTTTGGTTTTGTTCTGTTTGCCTCATTTGCAGGCACCTGTAACATTGAATTGCAGAGCTTAAAACTTTAAGGTGTAATAGAAATGAATCTTTTTTCTTCCTTCATTAGGAAAGATAACTTAGTTCTTAGTGTATGTGATTCTGAATTGCTTTAATTCCAGTAATTATTTAAAGGACAGAAGTAGTGAAGAGTGCAAGTAGCCTTTTTGATGACTACGTAGAAAATATTAATAATAGTGAAAACTTTTGATCAGTTTGTTTAAAATTTTTTTCTTGCTTTCCTAGATTTTACATGCTTTTAATTCAAGGTTTGCAGATAAATGATTATGTGTGCCATCCTGTCTTGGCCAGCGTTATTCTAAACTCTCCTCCTTTGTTCTGCTGTGACTTGAAAGGGATTGATGTTGTGGTTCCTTACTTTATTTCAGCTCTTGAAACCATTTTGCCTGACAGGTAAGCTATCATTCTCCTATTATATCAATTGTCTGATTTGCCTGGTTTGTTTTGGTGCTTCTTCCCCAGTTTCCTAATGTATCCTATCCAGTTGTCTACATAGTCTGAAGGGACTCGGGCCACATTAAATGAGTGTAGAACATCCAAACCCACCTTAGTTCTTATTTGTCCGTGGGCTTGTTGAATCTTTTTTTGGCCTGGTCTAGAAGGGTAAGAGTAACAACAGCCCAGAGTTCTAGCTTCGTATAGGCCTTACATTTTAAATGAAGAAATAAACCAATTAATTCTCGTTTAATTGAGTAATACTTGAACATAGAAATTTAAACACACGCATACACATACATAGTGCTTGGATTGTGAAAAATTGGCATAATTTTGGCAGTAGCAAAAAAATTACTTTAGTTCAAAAATACTAATAGCTTTTTACTTTTTGGCAGAGAACTCTCAAAATTCAAAAGCTATGTAAATCCAACAGAATTGAGAAGATCCTCCATTAATATCCTACTTTCTTTGTTGCCCCTTCCTCATCATTTTGGCACAGTCAAATCTGAGGTAATGTTTTATTAAAGTTTTTTATATTCTATATTCTGCTTTGTATGCTAATTTAAGTCAAATCGTATTTTAAAAAAATGGAACAGGAGCTTTTTTTTTATAAAACCCAAGTTATTTCAAGTGAATTAATGAAGTTGTGATATTTCTTACGTCAGTCTGCCAGCATGCCTTGGCCTACCATTTCAGGTGGTTATATGCTAGTGCTGTCTGATAACATATGTTGGTTGAGTAAGTTAGTGACAGACTTAGCAGTGGCTAGTATTAGACTGAAAGCCTTGCTCATTAGACTGACCTTTGTCCATTCTAGCTATTCCTACATGGGCATAGTGTATCACAACAGTTGAAGTTAACTATTACTTGTTTTTTTCATAGGTGGTCCTGGAAGGAAAGTTTAGTAATGATGACAGCTCTTCTTACGATAAACCGATAACTTTTTTGTCCCTGAAGTTGAGACTTGTGAATATCTTAATAGGTGCCTTGCAAACGGAAACGGACCCCAACAACACCCAAATGATACTAGGTTTGTGTTCACACATTTTTTTGTAAGTGAAAACCCATGTACTGTTGACCCCAGCCATACTGAGGAGGCGGCAACCAGTGGCAGGATCCTAAGCCTAATGCAGTTCTACTTATTATTCTAAATCAGAGGCAGCGATTATTTGCTTTTTAATGTAAAAAAAATTAATAGGTTGAGATGAGGGAAGGAAAGCTTTATAGTTGTCTTGGTTGGTCATTTTATTTGTGCTTTTTGTTTTTCTTTCTCCCTCCCTTCCTCTCTCCTCCCTTTTTCTCTCTTCTTTTCTCCCCCTTCTCCTTACTTCCCCTTCCCTCCCTTCTTTTTTCTTTCCTTTTCTCCCTTCTTACTTCCACCTGTCTGTTATTTACATATGAAAAAATTGGGGGTTGGGTTTTCAGAACCCTGCCAAGAAGAAATTATGGAGTAGCTGTTGTTGTGGTTCTTCCCTCTTTCCTTATTGTTTCCTTTTGGTCTCTTAATCATACTGATTCTCTGTCTTAAATGTCTCCTCATCATTATGGCCACTGCCATATTTTAGATCCTCATTACTTCTTAACTTGATTACTGAGACTATCTTATACTTCTGGCTTTTCATCAAAGCCAAAGGCATGGTCCTAGGTACAAGTTCTCTGGGGGGAATACTAGAGAAATGAGTGGCATGGTTCTTACCCCTGAGCAAATCTCATTGCAGAGATTTATCACAAAGTAGTCACATAACAGCAGAAAGCAGTGCTGATTGCACATCATGTTGAATGCCTTCAGGGTTGAGAGAGAAGAAACTAAAAGGTCATGGAAGACTTCATAGAGGGAAGTGGGAGTTAAATTGGATCTCGAAGGGCAATATTTGCATAGGCAGAAATGAGGGTAGGATTTCATTTTGGGAGAGGAAATGACATGCCTAAAGAATTGGTGATGGCAGTAGTTATTAGAGTGGGTGCGCAGGAAGTATAGTATGTTATACAGTGAGCAGGTGGAATAAATAGGGAAGAGTAAATTCTTTCATTGTGGAAAGGAGTTGAAGAAACAGATTATAACATATCCTCCATTTTATTGTTGACAAAGATCTAGAAACTTATGAAAGAAAAAGGGAAAGGAGGAAAATTGGAACTAAGAGAATTTAGCCACTTATACTTTGCAGTTGCACGTAAATTTTATTTGCTAGAGAAATTCTTTAATCTAGGGAGTGGGATTATAGTGTTTACCATGCAGGGAATTGTCAGAAATAAGAGAATATGTAAAATTTTTAGTCCAGTGCAATAATGTCTACTGTTACGGTTCACTGAGTATTAGAAGCAGATGGTGTCTTGCACAGGAACACTTTGAATGGGCTGGCCGTACTTAGCCTCATCCTAGACCATCCTGATAACATTATCTCCTTCTGGCTAAATACGCACATTGGTCACTTTCAGCTAACATCCGTCCCAGTTCCTTGTCCCCCTTAGTACCATTGATCTTTTTTCATTTCCCACTCTAGCCTTACCTTTCACATGATCCTTTGCTAGGTCTTGCATCACTAAAAACTGAAATCTCTGCTATCTTAATTTCAAAGTTCCATTTCCTGTTACCATCTATCCTTTCATTTAATTTACTTTACTCTTAACTCCAGCAATTTTTTAACACGGGATTAGAAGACCCTCAGCCCACAGGCCAAATCAGGCCTGGTATTTTTGTAATAGAGTTTTCTAGGAACATAGTCATATCTGTTTATTTATTGTCTGTGGCTGCTTTTGTGCTACAACAGCAGAATTTAACAGTTGTGACAGAGACCATACGACACAAAGTCTAAAATATTTACTACCTGGCCTTTTGCAGAAAAAATTGACCAACTCCTGCTCTAACCTCTAATCCACTGACCCTACGTCTTTTTCAGTATCTTTCATGTCCCCTCTTCCTTCCTTACCCAGCTTAGATTCCGTGTCTCTTACCACTTTTAAACCCATCTCTGCTTAAACACAACTGTCCATCTATTGCACACTTGCATCTGAGTGGTTGAGCAGTGCTGGAGAAAAAAATCACACACAACAGGGCTGACTAGACTTTTCAGATTTATGACTGTAAATCTCAGGTAGCACTTAACACTGACAGTTGTACTACACTTTTCCAGTAAATTCGCTTTTCTCTCTCTCTCACCTTGTATCTCCACCCCTTCTTTTTTCTTCTACTTAGTTGATCTTGCTGCATATTTCATAGAAAAAAATGCTTTAGATGAGAATGATCTCTTCTTCCCATTATTTTCACCAACTACCCGCAACCTACCCAGAGTTCTTTATTTCCTCTTCTTTCACTCAACAAATATTTGAGTTCTGTTATGTGTTATCTGCCAGGCACCACCCTAGACTCTGGGATAAAACAGAAAACAAAATAGACAAAAAACATTGTGTTGAGAGCAAGGAACAAACAATAAATAAGATAGTGTATTATATGAGGGAGAAAAACAAAGCAGGGAAAGGAGATAGAGAACAGGTGTAGGGGTGTGTGTGTGTCATGTGGCAGAGGGGATGGGGCTGTTCAATTTTAAATAGAGTGTCATGACAGCTCTCACTGAGAAGGTGAGGGAGTGAGTCATGGAGATAACTGGGAATAAGAGTATACCAGACAGAGGGAAAAGCAGGAGCAAAGAACCTGAAGCAGGAGTGTGTTTGAGGACCAGTGGGGAGGCCAGTGGAGACAGTCAAGAGGACAAAGGTGTAAAAGTAGTAGGAGATGAAGATGGAAGTAGCCTCAGCTTGTTATAATGTTGCTTCACTTGTGCCCTAAATCGTATCCTTCTCTCCTTCTCAAGGACATCACTCTTTTCTATCTGGTCAGTTTCTCCCTCTTTACTAGATTATTTGTAGTGACATAAAAGATATGCCTTAAATAATAGCTTAAATAGCTCTTTCTCTTCTACCAGATAGCTAGGTGTTGGAAGCCCCCAAGATCTCTTCTTGGATGTTTTAACCTAGGTGGTCTCATCAATCCCATGGCTTTAAATATCATGTACAGGCTGAATATTCTTCGTGCTAGATATCTCCTTTCAGTTCAGCTTGTGTTGCTAGCTAACTGCCTACTTGATATCTCCACCTGGATATCTGAAAGGCAACTGTAACCTAACTTGCCTGCATCCCACATTCCTGCCCTAAATCTGCTCCTCATCAATCTGCTTCTTCATCTTAGTAGATGACGGCCTTGTATATACCTAATTACTTAGGCCAGAACCTATGACTTATCTGTCTTTGATTCTTCTTTTCCCCTTATTGCCCCACATCCAGATCTATTCTTAAGTTCTGTCAACTCTACTACTGACCAGCCTTACCATCTCACACCGAGAACCCTTGTCCAAGCTACCTCATCTTTTTTTTTTTTTTTTTCTTTTTTTTTGTCTTTTTCCATGTCCGGCATCGGATTGCAACCCTCAGTGTCGCCCCCGTACCGGACCAGGACCGGCAACAGGATCGCAACCCTCGGCATTGCTCCCGCGCCTCGCTCAGCCAGTGAGCGGGAACCGGTCTGTATGTGGGATCCGAACCCTCGGGCGGGAGCGCCGCCACGCTTCCCAAGCGGCGCACTATCCAGTGCGCCACCGGGCCGGCCCTACCTCATCTTTTAATTCGAATGTTACCACAGACTGCTAACTGGTCTCTCTGCTCCTTTCTTGCCCCCCCCCCCGAGTTTATCCTCCCCATTTAAGCTAGAGTGATGGTCCTAAAGGATAAGCTAGATAATGCCAGTTTCCATGCCACTGGCTTCCCATTACACTTAGAATAAAATCCACATTCCTTATCCCAATCTATGGAGACCACACATTTAAACATCTCACCCCTGTCTACCTCTCAGGTCTTGTCTGTACTTTCCTTCTAGTGTTCTGTGCTCCATTTAAACTGGACTATTTTTTCCATCCATTGAACACATACAGCTCATGATAACTTAAGAGCTTTACTTACTATTCCTCCTTCTGGAATATTCTTTCCCTAGATATTTGCTTGGCTTTTTCCTTGTCATATTCTTAGACAGTCCTTAATAGACCCTGCTAAAGATGATCTTATTTCATCATTTTTTCATAGTACAGTACCTGAAATTATCTTATTTGTTTAAACGTTTGACTCTCCCAGCTAAAATATATCAAAAAGTATTTGTTGATTAATGGTAAACCCAGTGGTATCACGAAGGACAGTCTTACCTCCCTTAAACGTCTTCAGAGGGACCCTGATGAACAAAGGGGCCTCCTTTTTCTTCCCTCAGTCCAATGCTCAAATTGTATAAACAACAACTTACTATACTAGAAAGCAAGATGTTTTCAGTTATCACATCTGCATCTTAGTACCACTGAAGTTCAGCCTTGGATATCAAGATCCCCACCCTTGATAGTGGTAGCTCTCAGAAAGGTAGGCTTTCCTCAGCCACCTAACAGGGGTCCCCACTGAACCAATTGAATGCAAATACCAACCCTAGGTCTGCCAACAAACCAAGGTGGCAGATAGAACATCCTGCTTCTGTGGCAATTGATCCCTCAGAATGCCTTGACTTTGGCAGTGGTTAGAGGCTTCCTTTCTCCTTTTCATTAGCAAGACCAGGATCGGGCTGCTTCTTAGTATCTTAGATCCTTATTTGTTCAAAGATGGGATCAGACATTCCCATTAAAGCCCTTATATCCCTAGGGGAGGAGGGAGATTTATGTCCTTTCAGCAGGAACACAATCCTTGAGATGATTCTAAAAGGCCTCTAAGACTGAGAGAAATTGATCCTAAAGAGGTAGGTCACAGCTGCCAAGAACAGTATTTACCCAGAGACACCAAATTAGTAGGTAACTGCAGTTGTACATAGCTGGGTAAAAAGGTTTATAATATCTCAAAAATCTCAAATGCCATTAATTGCATTAATTTAATTGTGGGCATGATTTTCTAGATTCACAAATGTAGTTTTTTGCTCTCTATGTTCCCGTTATAAAATATAGCTATGTTCTTGTTAGGCTGGGTTTTTAAAGACCTTCTGAAGTTAGTATGTTAGGTCTGACCAAGGTTTGGAGCCACAGTTCACCAGTGGCATCAACACTTATCTCAGATTCATTTGGAACCCAAAGGGAGAGTGCATGGAGGGGGAATGTTTTGATATGAGAGCGCCTTCAAGTTATGATGTTGTAGATTATTCTACTAACATAATTTCACTTGAAATCAGATCATTTCTACAGTTGATAAGAATATTTGGTTTTGCTTTACCCTTGCTCTGAATGTTCCTCATGTACTTTCCAAGAATCAGTTGTCACTCTTGCCAATACATATTGGCAAAGCTGTTTCTATCTTCTGTTTATCCATTGTAGGCAAGAGCACTCCCCCACTAGGATGAAAAGCAGTATACTAGGCTCACCATCTCATTTTTGTCTTAGCCTTTCCAGGGCTATGGGTTCCTTAATAAATAAATGTGGCTTACTTTTAGAATATGCAGACATGGGCAATTCTCAAACCATGTGGCTTTAATCATTCTTGAAAAGCAGTATGGTCACAAAGGTATAGCTGCAATTTTTATTTTATTTTTTTGTTTTGTTTTGTTTTTAAAAGACTTGGACCTGTATTCCATAATATTTTCCTTAGTTTGTATTACCCTTGAAATCAAGATACTTACCTTTCACATCAATTAAAAAAATCTGATACTAGGTATGTTTTTATATAAAGCAAAGTTTGACCTTCAAATTTATTTTAGAAAAATGTGCCTTTGAAACTTTTGGGTTTGATCAGAATTAGGGGATTTCTGGGCCGGCCCGGTGGCGCACTGCTGCAGTGCGCCGCTTGGGAAGCGTGGCGGCGCTCCCGCCGAGGGTTCGGATCCCACATGCAGACCGGTTCCCGCTCACTGGCTGAGCGAGGTGCGAGGGCACCGCCGAGGGTTGCGGTCCCGTTGCTGGTCCCGTTCCGGTGCGGGTGCGACACTGAGGTTTGCGATCCGTTGCCGGTCACGAAAAAAGACAAAAAGGAAAAAAAAAAAAAAGAATTAGGGGATTTCTAAAGAAGGTCTTTTCTGACTGATCAGATTTATTAGGAATTTTATGGGAATTTCAGGAATCCTCAGCCAAAATTATATTATGTCTGATATTAGTCATATGAGATACTTTAGCCACTTTAGTGTTCTTGTGGTATATCTTATATAAAATGCTTTCTTTTTTTGCTGTTGCAGGGGCAATGTTAAATATTGTTCAAGATTCAGCCCTTTTAGAAGCCATTGGTTGCCAAATGGAGATGGTAAGAAGCATACCACATATAACCTGTCAGAATATCAACTACTGATTTTATATAAATTACATTTCAACATGTGTGTCCTTGTGATTTTTAAAGGCACTTTGTTTATTAATGTAGGTCACTGACTCAGAAGGATCCTATTTTATTTTATTTTATTTTATTTATTTTTGGTGGCTGGCTGGAATCAGGATCTGAACCCATGACCTTGATGTTGTAACACCATGCTCTAACCAGCTGAGCTAATCTGCTAGCATGGATCCTATTTTAAAATACCATATGTTTTGAGGTTTCTTACCTTTCAGTGCCTCATCAGCTGTACATCAGATCTCTGAGAGAATCTGCATGAGAAAAACTCGAGCTAAATCCAGTCTTTATTTCTGGATAGTGTCTACTTACTTAAATCTTACTTGTTTTACTGTGCTCATAAACTGGATTGAATAATCTAGGAAAGGCCTTCTACTCCATTATTCCTGCCATCCCTAATAGATCTAGTGCTGGTTGCAAGCAGACCTCTAGTTTATTTTTTTCTATCTCATCATTTCTTTCTAGCTCCTCTAGACCAAAGTTTACAGGTCATACCCCAAAGTTCCAGTGCTTCTAAATCAGAAAAGCTTCCCAGAAACTTCCAGTGCTCCTTGGAAGAGATACCTGGACTAGAGGCTGGGGAGTGAGGCAATTAACAGGATATACTGGGGTTGAGCTGGGTGGATGTAGGATGGGTTATCAAATTATTATTAAGGAAATTACATTCATGTCCCAGTAGATGGCTTATAATAATTTACTGATCTGAATATAATGAATTGTGTTCATATGGGGAAAAAAATGAGGGATATCTTTAACACATAGGTTTATTAGCCACTGTACATATAGGAGTTAATCTTTATACTAAGCATAGTATTTTATTTTTTGTGTTTTGTGATATAAGTACATTTGAAAGTTGCTGTTATTTGTTTATTTGTGTTTATTTGTGTTTTTTTTTTTTTTGTCCTTTTTGAGACCAGCCGCACCGCACTCAGCCAGTGAGTGCTGTGAGCAAACCGGTCATCCCTATATAGGATCCGAACGCGCGGTGGGAGCGCTCCTGCGCTCCCAGCACCTCACTCTCCCGAGTGCGCCATGGGCTCGGCCCTTATTTGTGTTTTTTAAGTTTGTATGCTTGTTCTGAACTTTTGCTTGGGAGGTAGTACGGTATTTTCTTTAAGGACCCAGCATCATTAGCCATTGAAGTCTAGTGAGGATGATAAAGGTCCTGGGCTAGCCCTTTCTTTGTAAACAGCAGCAGTGAAGACCCCAGTATAGGCACCTGTAGTCATTAAACCCTTCATACCTTCCAGTAGAAGGTGTCTATGCAAACACTCCATAGCATTTTTAATCCCTTGTCAGTTTGTATCTGTGTATCAGTTTGTGCTATTTAGTTAGCACATTCCATTTTATCAACATGATTATAATGACTTTATCTATATTTGCAAACTGTGGTGTAGCCTTCAAATGTTTTATTCATTTTCATCTGACTAGGGTGGTAGAGAAGATAACCTGAAGGGTCATAGTCGCACTAATAGTGGTATTAGTTCAGCAAGTGGCGGAAGCACAGAGCCCACAACACCTGATAGTGAAACCTGCTCAAGCACTCTTAAGGGATTATGGTAAGATATGTTTGGGTTTTTTTTTTTTTTTTTTCAATTCAAAGTTTTACAGAATAACTTTAATGTTCAGATTTTCAAATAAAACAGAAAAAAAATTTAATGTTCAGGTGTTTTTATGTACTTAAGTATAATAGATGATGTAGTCTAAAAAGCTAAGAAAAAGAAAACAAGTCCTTTTAATTTAGCTGTACAGCTTTTAGTACTTGGATTTTGGGTAGTTTATTAGATTCTATAAATGATTGTCATGAGTAGTCAGAAGACATTTCTGGATTCTGTACCATGTGCTGATGATAGAGTCAAATAAAATGTGGGTTTCCTCAGAGCTCACAGTCTAATGGTATAGATGTCCAATAAATCAGTTATTGCAGTGTGGTAAGGGGGGTGATGGGTTGTGCATTAGATGGGAACTCAGAGGACAGTCTGTCTTCGTGTTAAAATCTGTGTACCCTACTATATCTCTCTTGAATTCTTCAGTCACAAATTTTAAGCAAGAGTAAGGAGACATTTCTATTTTCTGCCCTGTCAAATAAAACATTGGCAGCAAAGGATCCTATTCAGTGATGTCCTTTACCTTGGGCAATTATTTTATGGGTTCTGTGGGTTTGTGGGTACCTTTATGTTTTCATACACAAATACTAACAGTGTATTGAATCTATGAGCATTTATCCACCTAGATTGGAGTGATATCCAGATCTTTAGATGTGAGTTTAGTTTTTTAATCATGTAGAGAATTCGTAAACCATGTTCATGAGTTCATGAGGCATGTTTCTATAGTTTAAGTTCGCAATAAGTATCCTTGAGCATGTCAGACGCTCAAAATCATGATGTGGATATTCAACACACTCAAATATTACATTTATAAAGAAGTTATTTAAATTGTTATCTTATTCATTGTGTATGTAAATTATGTATAGTATAGGTCAGAAATTTGTTTACTTTTCATGTTTATAAAATACTTTAAAGAAATTTTTGCATTACTGCGTGTGTTCTAATATAAGTGTTTGAAGTGATTATTGTTTGTTTCAGCATTTTGAAATGATGTTAGTGAGCTCTGCTTGTAATGTCATAAAATATTTTTTACTAAGAAATCCAGATTTGTGTTAGTGTCGCATGAATGTCTCTCTTTAATGATCATTCCTTTTTCTGTTGTCACTGCCCTCTTTCTGATAGGATCGACAGGTATAATGTCCCTAAAGCTTCCTTTATAAATTCAGTTTAATTTGTCCTATTTTAATTTCTCCTGATTTACAATTAGCTAAGTAGTAATTACTTTTAAGTACAGAATTAGAGGTGAAATAAAAACACAGTGGCTTGATTATTTAATTTTTTTTAGGAGTATTAAAATAGTCTTAAAAGAGTTAAATGTTAAAATGTGTTTGAAAAGCCATTGCATGTGATTTTTGATCATTTAAACCCTGCAAGTAATTTCAGCAGATGCTTCAGGGTAATTCCCAGCATCTGAGGAGGCTGTAAAATTTGAATTCTTTCCTCTATAAAATTCCAGGGAAATAATTGATAGCCTTTTCATCTTTTTTTTTTTTCGAAAATGTTACTCTTTGAGTTGTTAATTTAGAAATTTTAAAATTTACATTGTTGTAAGAATGATACTGAAACTGCCAAGCTCCATGATTGTCTGTGAAAGTACGTGAGCCGGGAGCTAGAAGCTGCTCTGATCCAGCGTGTGTGCCCTGTGCACTGTTCATTCAGGCTTGGCGCTCAGGCCAGTGGGGTGGGGAGTATAGCACTGTGTGGTGCCCGTCATGCTCACTGTGGCTGCTGTGGTCTGTGCCTGTGAATGCTGTGCTTCTTGTTACTAATGCTTAGTTGTTTTTCCTCCCTGTGGGATGTGGCATTGGGGTTATATCCTAGCTCTTAATACAGATTCAGCTGCTGGACTCCTGATTCGCAGCATTCATCTCGTTACCCAAAGACTCAACTCCCAGTGGCGACAAGACATGAGCATATCACTGGCAGCTCTAGAGCTCCTTTCTGGCCTGGCAAAGGTGAGGAGGATAGTTCTTGTAACCCAGCGGTCTTGGGCCATGGCTCTTTTTTCTGTGTTTCTCAACCCCTTGGTATGGGTATTACAGTGTTGGTAATACTCAAACATGGTTTATACCAAAGTATGAAAAATTGAGCAAATGAAATTTTACAAAATAAACTTTACCTTTTTTAATAGGTTCAAAAAAGATATTTTTGCTGTTAAATTAGAGAAGACATTTTAATACGTGCTATTTATGTATTTGTACATAATGATAGAACACCTATTCATTTTGTAAAGAGTGCTTATTCTAAAATTTGCCATTTGGGATTATCTGTGACTCTACTGTCTTATCAGAAATAAGTCAAAATTAGCTGTAATTTCAGATTTGTTTCACAGCTCTTACTTCAGTTTTGTGGCACCTTAAAGCGGGGTGGCCATTTGTGCTTTTCCAAGTGTTTTCTCTTTTTTTGAGGTCAAATTCACGTAATGTAAAATTAAACATTTTAAAGTGAACAATTCAGTGGCTGTTAATACATTCACAATGTTATGCAACCACCACCTCTAGAGCCAAAATGTTTTCATCACCCCAAAAGGAAACCCCATATCCTTGCTTCCTAGTCCCCAAACCCTCACGAATCTGACAATCATGAATCTGCATTTTGTCTCTATGGGTCTACCCATTCTGGACATTTCACATAATTGGAATCATACAATATGTGATCTTTTGTGTCTGACTTTTTTCACTTAACATAATGTTTTTGAGTTTCATTCATGTTGTAGAATGTGTCAGAATTTCATTCCCTTTTATGGTTGAATGATATTTCTTTATATGTATATATCACAATTTGTTCATTCATCAGTTGATGGACATTTGAGCTGTTTCCATCTTTAGGCTATTGTCAGTAGTGCTGCTGTGAACATGTGTGTACATGCATTTGTTTGAATACCAGTTTTCAATTCTTTTTAATTATACCTAGGAGTGGAATTGCTGGGTCATATCATAATTCTAGGTTTAACTTTTGAGGAACCAACAAATCGGTTTTCCTCAGCTATTGAGTTATTTTACATTCCTACCAGCAATGTACATTTATGGGTTCCAATTTCTCCACATCTTTACTAACTTCTAAGTGTTTTCTTGTTAGTAAAATGGGCAGGATTATTTTATGTGTAACACCTGGTGTTGTGAGGACCAAATGAGATGAAATACACAAAACACTTTGTGAACAAAAAGGTGATATGCACACATGAGGCGGCACTGTTTGGGATGATATAGTTCAAGCCCTTGTTTTACAGATGTGTAAACAAGTGATCAGAGGTTGTGACTTACCTAAGCCACGAGAGATAAAATAGAGAAGAAAACTTAAGATGTTCTCACCACCACTTAGAGTTTACCTCAGAAATCCCCAGGGAGGGACATAATAGTTTCATGAGGCACAGTTACTGATACAGAAAGTAAGAACAGCCATTTATGAGACATTCAGGAACACACTGTCTTTGAGAGCAAGGTATTGTTTTCTGTGACCTTTAGTATACTTTCAGTAGTAAGGAATAATTAGCCTTCGATGGAGCACTGCTGTGGACCTGCCTAACAAATCATAAAGGACTAATGCTACCTGATTTTATGACTTACTGTAAAGCTACAGTAATCAAAACAGTCTGGTTTTAGAGTAGGGTTAGATGAATATATCAGTGGAATAGAATAGAGTTCAGAAGTAGATTCACACATGCATGGTCATCTGATTCTTGACAAAGGTGCGAAAGTAATTCAACGTAGAAAGGATAGTCTTTTCAACCAGTGGTGCTAGAACAATTGGATATTCATATACCAAAAAAAAAAAAAAAACCCCAAAACTTTGATTTATACCTTATACTGTGTACAAAAATTAAGTCAAAATGAATTGTAGACCTAAGTGTAAAACCGAAACTCTGAAACTTCTAGAAGAAAACATAGGAGAAAGTCTTTGTGACCTTGGGTTATACAAAGATTTCTTCTATATTACATATAGAAGAACAAACTGGGATAAATTGTTCTTCACCTAAATTAAGAACTACTGGTTCTTCAAAAAACATTGTTAAGAGAAGGAGATGACTAGTCACAGACTAGGAGAAAATCTTTATAAAGCATATATCTGATGAAAGACTTGTATCCAAATTACAAAAGAATTCTCAAAACTAAACAATAGCCTTTCCTTTTGGTGGCGTGTGGCAGCAATATGGTGGTGCAAATTTCTAAGAAGAGAAAGTTTGTCGTTGATGGCATCTTCAAAGCTGAACTGAACAAGTTCCTCACTCAGAAGCTTGCTGAAGATGGCTGCTCTGGAGTTGAGGTCCGAGTTATTCCAACCAGGACAGAAATCATTTCCTCCAGGATGCAGAGTGTTTTTGGTGAGAAGAACCAGCAGATCCTTGAATTGACCAATGTAGTTGAGAAGAGGTTTGGCTTTCGTGAGGGCAGGTAGAGCTTTCTGCTGAAAAGGGGCTTACAAGAAGTCTGTGTGCCATTGCCCAGCAGGGTCTCTGTGTTACACACTCCTGGGAGGGTTTGCTCTGTGGAGAGTCTGCTACATTCATTGTGGAGAGGGGGACAAGGACTACAAGGTCACAGTATCAGGGAAACTCTTAAGGACAGAGAACTGAATCCATGAACTTTGGATGGTCTGATGATCCACAGTGGGGACCCTGTTAGCTACCGTTTTGTTACCATCATCCACTGTGTACTGTTCAGACAGTGTGTGCTAGGCATCAAAGTGATCATGCTGCCCTGGGACCAAGTGTTAAGATTGGCTTTAAGAAGGTCCTGCCTGACCATGTGAGCACAGTAGACCCTAAAGATGAGATACTATCTCCCACCCCCGTCTCAGGACAGAAGGTTAGGAAGCCATATCTGCCTGCCATTCTCTAACCAGTCCCCACTGCATAACAGGGTCTGCTTGGCAGCTGGGTCTGGAGTGTGGATGTTGCTTCAGAAAGACCTTTAATAAAATTAAAAAAAAAAAATGACAACAGAAATCCCTCAGTGATAAAACAAATAACCCAATTAATAAGTGGGCAAAAGATTTGAGCAGGTACTTTACCAAGGAAGATACACAGATGACCAATAAGTACATGAAAAGATGCTGAAGGGCTGGCCAGTTAGCTCAGTTGTTTAGAGCATGGTGCTGATAGTACCAAGGTCCAGGGTTGGATCCCTTTACCAGCCAGCTGCTTAAAAAAAAAAAGAAGCTCAATATTATTACTTATTAGGGAAATGCAATTAAAAACACAATGAAATACCACTACATACCTGTTAGAATGGCTAAAATTAAAAAGACTACCCATACCAAATGTTGGGAAGATGTGGAGGAATATTAAATGGAACAACCATTTTGGAAAACAGCTTGGAAGTTTCTTAAAAAGTTAAACATATTCCTATCATATGACCCCAAATCATTCCACTCCCAGGAGGTAAGAGATGTTATATTCCTATAAAGACTTGTGCATGAATGTTTATAGCAGCTTTATTTGTAATATCCAGAAACTGGAAATAACCGAGATGTCCATCAACAGGTGACTGGATAAAGAAATTGTGATATATCCATGCAATGGAATACTACTCATCAATATAAAGGAATAAACAATTGATATACGCAAAAATGTAGAGAAATCTGAACATAATTATGCTGAGTGAAAGAAGCCAGGACCTTGAAAAAAGTACATACATATGATTTTATTTATTTAAACTCTGGAAAGTGCAAGCTAATCTATAGTGATAGCAGATCAGCAGTTGCTTAGGGAGGTGGGCAAAGAAGAGTGGGAGAAAGGATTACAAAGGTGCATGAGTAGATTTGGGGAGTAAAGGATATTCTCACTATCTTGATTGTGATAGTTCACAGGTATGTACTTTTGTCAAAATTGATCAAATTGTGCACTTTGAATATGTGCAGTTCACTGTATGTTAATTATATCTCTAAGCAGCTGCACAGAACTTTGTGAAGGGCATAGAGCATCACTGTAAGGGTGGTTTAGGGGGCTTAAAAATATGCACATGTTCCATTGCTAGCTATTCTTTCAGTCTCTGGCAGTGATGAATAGGTGCACCCAAGGGTTTTAGGGCATGAAAAACTATGCTAAAATGAAATACTTTTTTAGGGTTTGAAAAATGCCACTATTTTTGTAGGGTGTTATATGATGATACATCTGAAATATTCTATTCCTGTATATAAATAATATTTAAAAAGCAAAGCTTCCTGTGGTGTATCACATTCTCAAATAGGCCAAGCCTCAGTTAAATGCTTTGAAAGTGGTATAGTGGTACCTGGCTAACTGTTTTTGTTCCCCAAATGAATATACTCAGGTGAAAGTGATGGTTGACTCAGGAGACCGGAAGCGAGCCATCAGTTCTGTGTGCAGCTACATTGTGTACCAGTGTAGTCGGCCAGCTCCTCTTCACTCCCGCGATCTGCATTCCATGATAGTGGCGGCTTTTCAGTGTCTCTGTGTGTGGCTGACAGAGCACCCTGATATGCTTGATGAAAAGGTGAGTTTATTTAATCATAAAACATTTAAGTAGAACTAAAAATACATGTTGGGAAAATGCCTTTTAAAAGAGAATATGTAAATTTAAATATTGCTCATTTTACACTGAGTATACTTGTTAGATTTTAGGAGAACACTTGTCCTTTTGAGCACAACTTGAAAACTGTCATCATGCTTATACTTAAGTACAAAGTAACCTGTAGAGAAGTTCTTTGGAAAGATGGCAGGGGACATGACTAATTTATCCGAACTATCAAGACTGTTCTTTCCTGAAAGGATGGTAGTAGGCATTTTGGTCACCTATCACCAAACCAAGAAGGGCAGTTGATTGCTAGGCTGCAATCTGCAGCACAGCCTGTCCATAAGTCTTGCTTCTACCTAAAAGTTTTATTTCACACATTTCTCTGCTTTCTTTTTTTTTGTGGCTGGCCAGTGAGAGGAACTGAACCCTTGACTTTGGTGTTACAACACTGCGCTGTAACCAACTGAGCTAACCAGCCAGCCCCTTTCTCAGCTTTCAAGTAGTGCAGATATCTAGTCTGCTTTCCCTGCCATTGTTCCAAGTAATGCCTTTCTTATAGAAAGACAGGCGTTATAAAGAATTCACAGTGTAAATAAAAGAAGAGATACCAGGGTCATTGAATATTTATAGAGAGCTTTATATTAGTTTTGGGTTTTTTAAAATGTATTTTATTTATTAAATCAAAATTGATTATACATATTTTTGGGGTTGAACATTGAGATATGTTGATCAAATCAATATTACTAATATATATATTGTTACAAATCATAATTATTCTTTATGCCCCTTGTCCAATTTCTCCCCTTCCCTCACTCCCTCCCTCCTCCCCCCTCTGAAATTACCCTAGATTCTTCTCTCCTTTTGAAAGAATAATGGTTACTCTGTTGATTTGTTGCCTAGATGATCTGTCCAATGCTGAGAGGTGTGATCAGGTCCCCCGATATTATCATAGAGCAGATGCTTCT